AAAAAAAAAAAAAAAAAAGAATAAAATACTTAGCAATAAACCTAAGCAAGTGAAAGACTTGTACACTGAGAAGTACAAAACATTGGTAAAAAAAAGTTAAAGACACAGATAGGAAAGATATACTGGGTTTATGGACTGGAAGACTTAATACTGTTAAGATGTCCATACTACCCAAAGAAATCTACATATTCAACACAATCCCTATCAAAATCCAAATGGCTTTTTTTAAGAAATAGAAAAATTCATCCTAAAAATTCACATGAAATATCAGGGGACGGAAATAGCCAAACAATTTGAAAAAGAAGGACAAAGTTGCAAGATTCACACTTCATGATTTCAAAGGATACAACAAAGCTTCAATAATCAAAATGATGTGGTACAGGCATAAAGACTAATAGACCAATGGAACAGAATAAAGAGCCCAGAAATAATACCCCATGTATACAGTCAAATTATATTAAACAAGGCACCAAGACCACTCAAAGGAGAAAGGACAGTCTCTCCAACAAGTGGTGGTGTGAAAATTGCATGTCTAAAGTTGGGCCCTTATCTTACACCATATACAAAAATTAAAATGGATTAAGTACCCAAAAATAAGACCTAAAATTATGAAACTCCTAAAAGAAAAAATAAGGAAAAAGCTTTATGACAATGGACTTGGCAATGATTTCTTGGATATGACATCAAAAACACAGGGAACAAAAGCAAAAACAGACAAATGGAACTACATCAAACTTTGAGGACATCGTGCTAACTGAAATAAGCCAGTCACAAAAAGACAAGTATAGTATGACTGCACTTATATGAGGCATCTAACTGTCCCAGATTGGAGGAGACTAAAGAAGCATGACAACTAAATGCAACTGGAATCCTGGACTGAATACTGGACCAAACAAACGGTATTAGTAGAACAACTAGTGAAATTTGAATACATTCTGTAGATTAAGCAATAATCAATGTTAATTTCTTGGTTTCAATAATATGGTTATGCAAGATGTTAACATTTGAGGAAGCTCGGTAAAAGGTATAGAGGAATTCTTTGTACTATTCTTGCAACTTCTTTAAAAGTCAAATTATTTCAAAATGAAAAGTTAAATTTAAAAATAAACAAAGAGGACTGGTCAATAGCTCAGTTGGTTAGAGCTCAGTGTTATAAAACCAAGGTCAACAGTTTGGATCCCCATCCAGGCCAGCGGCAAATAAACAAAGGGCACAGGATTAGGAACAAATGCCACTATGTAAACTGATAAACAGGCTGGCTGGTTGGCTGGTTATCTCAGTTTGTTAGAGTGCGGTGTTTTAACAGCAAGGTTAAGGGTTCAGATCCCCATACTGGCCAGCCACCCCCAATCCCACCCCCCCCCCAAAAAACAGAGTAAACTGATAATCTAAACCAGGAATCAGCAAACTTTTTCTGTAAAGGGCTGAATAATGAATAGTTCAGTCTCTAGGGGATAAACAGTCTCTTGACTACTCTACTGTTGTATCACAAAAGCAGCCACAGATGGTAAGTGAAACACAAGGCATGGCTGTATCTCAATAAAAACAAGAGCAGCTGGATTTGACCCACAGGCTATACTTTGCTAACCCTTGAACTAAACAAAGAAATTTTTATCATTAAGGAAGGTATTATTTGACATAGTATAATATATGATAGTTATTCTTTCCTAAATAAATACAATCAAGTGTTTTCCATGTTATCAAATGAAATTTCATTTATTTACATGTTATTTTCAGAATTTTTTATCATACACTATGTACACAGGACCTTTAAAAGGAAATGCATAACATTTTAATAAAGACCAAAGCTATACTTCCCACTAATGAGCTGAAGGACCCACTCAACTAAATGACCTTCCTCCCACACCAAAATAAATTTAGTTCAGTATAAAAGCAAAAGTAAAGAAAGAATTTTAGGATCCCAATTTTTAAATCTAACTTTTACTTTACCTACCCTACAGTGCCCCCCCAAACAAAAAAAATCATCCTCTCCCCTTCCTCTTAATTATATTTTGAAACAATTTAAATTGCTACTAGCTATCTTTCTCTGATCAACCTTTGAACACATATGCTGATTTGACTGAGCTGACATTATCTTATCATTAATTGAGTATCTTCAGAAAACCTAGCCATTCAAGAATCAAGGTATAAAATGAGTAAAACCATCTAGCTTGGAATTTGTATATGGTTTCTTTAGTTTGACAGTATATAAACTTAAGATAAAATGGTAGAGGAGTTGAGTAGCTTACAAGGTATACATTTTATAAATACATTTAAAAAGTAAAAATAACTAGTAAAAGCTATAAGGTTTAGTTACATCATTTACAAACCTCATTAAATTAATTCAGAAAGAACTACCAGATATCAGAAAGAAAAGTTAGGGTTTTTTTAACCCAACAATAAGTCACAAGAGATGATCAAAGATGGATTCACATAAAATTTTAAATGACCTAATGGCATAAGTGACATTATAAACACATGTAAACATTATACATTTTTTAAAGGTTGAGAACCTGGGTTAACTAATTAGCCTGTGTGGGTTATTTTTATCACCACCCAGAGTTCAGCGGAGTTCCCTAGTGGCACAGACTACTGGATGCCTTCAACTGGCCACAACTTACCCCAGGGTATTGCCTGCCAGCCTGCCCAGCGTCTCAGAACCTGAGAGAAACCACGGGGAGTCACTTGTCCTACCAGGCCTGGATGTCCTCCCCGCCCCCGAGTTGCTGTTCAACTTTGACCTGGGGGAAAACAACAGGTGGAACAATCACATAATGGTCTCCAACTGGAGAGAAAACAAACCTGGAATTCCAGGCCTCACTGCTCTGGGACTTACTGCGGTAAAATACCAGCCTAATGATTACTCCTACTGAAATTTAAACTTCACATCAAAAAGCAAACTTAGCAACTTGTAGCTTCATGACAATCCAGCACTCTTTTTTGGTTGAAACTGTTTTCACGTTTTAACTGCAAACAAATGTTAAATAGTAAATTGTTCTTTAGATTTTTAAAATGCTCTCTTTAGAAGCAGCCAACTGAAACTCATCATAATCTAGCATCCTTTTTTATACACCATAATTTTAAATGACCAAAAGTTTAAAGAATCCCTGTTGTTTTCAAATTGAGTTACCTGATTTGAAAATACTAATGAGAAAAAACCTGATCTATCAAATCTATAGATCTATTTAAAAAGGTAAATCTAACTTGCGACCTACCAAATATGTAATATCATTCTTCCAGTAACCTATTTCTGTTAAGTGCTAATTAACTCCTCTGCTACTTTTATTAATATTTTGGCCATAAATCATTTGAATAAAAATTAAAACCAAACTACAAAGTAACCATTCTACTCTGTTTTAAGCATTTGAGTTTTTGTAATGCCTTCTTTTTTTTAAATTTGAGGGTTACCAAAATCAAAACATGGGTTTAATACCATCTAAGCGCTAAATATATATTAAATAGAAAGGACATGTCTTACCCATCATTATTATCAGGTTTACCCAATTCCAACCTGTCTGGCTGTACTGAAAAACCAATCCTGCAAACTCTACCATCCTAAAAGCAAAGAAAATAGAAGAAATTCTCAAAGTAAAAACATATTAAAATGTGAACTTATTCAACAGATTCTGTGCCTAACACTTGCAATTCAGAGGATAATAAATAAGCTCTCTTCCAGAAGGCGCTCACACCTGAGTTGGGGAAATACAATATACATAATCAATATACCAGCAGAAAATAATTTAAAACATCTCAATCTGACAAAACTCAGAATAAGGAAATAACCAGATATCAGGAGCCTCCCATTCTGTTACTAATTTAGTTTCAAGTGCCAGTAAACCATTTGTGCTTTCTTTGGGCCACAGAATTTATACAGTAAGGAAAGAGAACCAGGCAATATTCAAAATAACTCTGTCTGGTTGAAAAGAAACACAATGATGCACAATTGTATTTTAACTATTTTTCATTTATCTACCTTAGAGTAAATAATTTACCTCAAGAAGAAAAGCAGCATGATTTGGTCCCACCACACATTGTTTAATAGCAGCCTGTTCCAATACATTCAAAGGGGGGTGGCTGGGGCATAGAAAAAGAAAAAAGTATGTTAAGTAAAACAAAAAAAAAAATTTTTTTTTTTAAACTGGTAAGGAGATCTTAACGCTTGACTTGGTGTTGCCAGCACCATGCTCTCCCAAGTGAGCTAACCGGCCATCCCTATATAGGGATCTGAACCTGTGGCCTTGGTGTTATCAGCACCACACTCTCCCAAGTGAGCCACGAGCTGGCCCAAAATTATTTTTAAAATGGTAAATACATCCCAGGGATTTTTAATCCAAACAATAAAAGAAAAATAATTGGCAAAACCTATTTTTAAAATACTAATATTTACATATTTTAAAGCAATAATTGAAAAATAGTAATTATGACATCCCTATGATTATTATAGCTCTTTGGTATGCCAGATTTCAAAAATATCAGTACAAATGGAAACTATTTAATTCAAATGAACCCAACTCATAAAAAGTTGATAGACTGAAAGACTCTTAACCCAATCACAATCATATTGATCTTATTTATACTAGGGCTGCTGACTAAGTATGAGTTATTTTTCCTAATAAAGAAAAACCATTCTTTGTCAGAAGATTTAAAATATCTTAAAACTCTTACCTGTTTAAATTATATTTGTTCAGCTTCTCTGAAACTTCCCGTAACCTTTAAAAACAAAACACCACTTTGTAAATAAAATAGTTTTGACAGGCACTTGTACCATTATTTGGTGCACTTCAATAGCAGTACTTTGTACGACAAGAATGGTTTGGGTTTGTTTGTTTGTTTTGGCGACCGGCTAGTACGGGTATCTGAATCCTTGACCTTGGTGTTATAACACTGTTAATCAACTGAGCTAACCAGCCAGCCCCAAGAATGTTTTTTATATTCTCTTTTAATTTTGTCCCCAAAAGATCACATGTAATTCCCTTCCCTTACTACCCCATTAACAACCTCAATAACAACAATAATAATCACATTAATTCCATTTTACAGATGAGAAGAGACTTCTAGAATTATATAATGAAAAATAGCAGTAGAGCTGGTACTTAAACCAACACCCAATGGAAAGGTCATTTTAAAAATCATGCTATCTATGCCAAAAGACTCTTGAATGTGCATGGATATCATGAAATGAAAATACTCAGGAAGCACAGATCTATTAAGAATCTAATATAATGGGGTAAAAAAAGCCTGAAAGCCTAGTTGACTTAAAGCATAGTCTGAAGTTCTTGAAGGGCCTTATGACACAAAACTGAACAAATTAGAGCCTCAAAGTCCTTATAAGCAAGGATAACACCTCCCATTTCTAAAACGGTATTGAATATGCTTAGGAAAACCTCAAGGGGCTATACAACAAAGAAATATTAACTTATATTATCTGTAATGGTTTTGCTGCTTCTCTCAAGAAAATAGTCTTGAATTAACATAAAATATTGTTAACATTCAGCTAGATTAAACTAGGCACTTTGTCAACCTAATAAAGTCATTTTACAACGTAAAGATTAACCAAATGTAGAGATTAGGAGTTAAACCTTAGAAATAATTATCTTAAAAGTAAACTGAGAATTTCAGAAAGCAATGGGAAAAATTATAACATTAAATCAATAGGAAATTCCATGAACTTTGCTCTCTAAAGAATGACAAAAATGAATGAAATCAAATTTCAATCATTTGTACTAACAGATTAAAGTGTTATACATACTTCAAAAATAAATCATACATGAGAGCCAGTTTAGGACTTAAAAGCTGCCACAATATAATCTAAGGGCAAATAACCTAATTATTTCAATAAGTAGGAACCAGTTGTCCTTTAAGTTCTATTATCTGTTCACTGCTCAGGAGCATCTTTCAAACACGCACAGTAACTGTCCAATACCGGATCACATTCAGTAGCTAGAATAACCTTCAAATGATGCCATATTTAATTTCTCTCCCAAGAAGTAGATACTCCCAAAGAACAGCATCTTGAATATGTGTGATTTGGCAGCCCGAAAAATGTATTTTCACTTTTGTATCACGTGTTGCATTTATTTTCATTAACAAAACATATTTTCATTGATCCCAGAAAGTTAGGTTTTTTTCAGCGAATTCCAGTTTGCTTATTTACAAAGTACACTTCTGTGTTCCAAGACAAGATAAAACACCTTAAGAGTAATGCATTGTAAAACTCATAAGCTTTGAGAAAAGGCTGACTAGAAAATGGGGAGAAAATAAACTAGGGGGCTCTGTTCCATACAATAACAGCAGCCTTCAGAAGACTGACAAAGGCAGGAACTTTCACCTTCCTGGGCCCATATTTACTATGAATAATTTACAAAACTTTTCACCAGAATGGAGCCAGAGTGTGCAAAAGGGCTAAGATAGGTTTTACTTCCCAAAAACCACAGTACTGACACTTTTAGAAGGTACTTGTTCACTGGCATACAACTAAACCCACTTCATTTCCATTCCTTTTTTATTAGCCCAAAACTGTCTCTAGATCTTTTACAAAGTACTCAGTATTGGGGGGAATAAAATTTGCCAAAGCCTTTTTCAAAACCGGACAATAGGGCCGAGCCCGTGGCGGACTCGGGAGAGTGTGGCACTTAGGAGCGCAGCAGCGCTCCCGCCGTGGGTTCGGATCCTATATAGAGATGACCGGTGCGCTCACAGCGCTCACTGGCTGAGCGCGGTGAGGCTGGTCTCAAAAAGGACCAAAAAAAAAACGGACAATAAATGAGATTAAGAATTAAATGCTGCCTCCATGGCTCCAAATATCATCCTAGGTTGATAGTAACTACACAACTAAAATAAGCTTTGAAGATATCAAAATGTTAGAAAATAATAACTCAAGAACTCAACAGCAAATTTCAGGCTACTAAGGAGATAGTGGAAATGGTTGCTATCAATTAAATTTTCTAATCTTAAAAATCATGGTGAGATTCTTAACCACATTCAAAATGTACACCAACAATCTGTGCTGGAAACAATGCCCACAGAACAGCAAGAAACCCAGAGTTTACTCCAAGCTCATCTACTACTAACTGGGCCCAATTAAGCCTATTAGGTCTCAGGCTCTCATCTCTGTAAAGAACAACTATTAGTCACCATAGTTTTTTTCTGTACTGAAATTCTTACAAATGTATGCAAAGGAAATGTATCAGTGGAGGATATATATGTAATGTTTATAGTAGAAATGGCACTGACTGTCATATTCAGTTTTATCTTCATGTGAAACCTTCATACACAATGGATTTCATACGGACACGTAAAACGTTTCCCCAAATATCAAATGTTTTAAAATTCTTCAATTCAATCCCAAAATTTATACAAAATGTATCATTGTTCCAGATCTCAAGACAGTTATGACTAAATGGGCCCCCTACAAATTACATGTATCCGGGTAACACTGACAAAGAAACCTTCAAGCAAAAAGAGAATAGTATATTTAAGGAGTATTTGGTTCCCTTTTACATTATAAAGTCCTCAGGAAACACACAAATCATAGCACGACTACAAGCCAATGATCATATTAATTTAAATTTACTAAGTAACTGAATGCTTCTATATAATTAATAGACACTCATCCACACTTTAAAGGATCTTTGTCCAAAAGCTTACAATGCTTAAAGTTATTAACTATATTTCCTCTCCTAGCAATATTAATAAGGTTTCCTTTTCAAAATAAAAGGAAAACCATGCTAGAGCTCACCAAATTCCATTTCAGAAAAAAAATCTTTACATGTGGTTATAATAGAAAACAAGAGTACAGAGTAACAAAATAACCCCATAACTCAGTATTTAATCTCATTCAAGGACAGACAGGCAAGCCTTTGTGAGGAAGCTGTAACACACAGTACACAGGTTAGCAATAAGCTTTTGACAATCCTTAGTACTCCTACAACAAAGATTTATTCCATATTCCAATTAAAAACCCTATTTTATTCTTTTAAGTTTATAGTTCATCTTGCAGATCCACAGACTGAAATTTTTTTAAAAAGCACCAAGGGAAGGTAACAGAAAGACAGGAAAACAAAGTATATAACATTACTTGCTAGAAGCTAACATATTTTATTGCTATTCTTGAAATCTCCTATCATTTCAGTCTCATTTTCCCTAAATTTAACATTACAATTTCAAAGATAATTCATCTCCTCACTGATCCTCAATTGGCAATAGCAGTTAGTACAGGTTCTTCAGTTTTGTAATCCTCTGTCTACCCACTGCCAGGTAACACATCTGCATGGTCAGACACACACCCCTACACTGCATTAAACTGGATGAATCTTTCTTACTGAATTTCTAAAAAAAAAATGAGGTACACTTAAATCTCCAAAAGGCTTCAGTTCTTGAGGACAGAAAGATATTCCCAACATCCCACCCCCTACACGATTTCCATACATCCGGAATTGTAAGACAAGGTATACCACGTTTATCAGCTTAATGGAAGAAAGTGGCATAATCTGCCACCAGTACATTTCCTCCAGTCTCACTTCTACTTATTTCACACACTGTTCAAATACTACCTTCTCCATAAATTTTTCTTGGTAGTCCTCTTTTTCTTCCTACAGAAGCCTACAACTTTTCTCTCATGTAGGACCTTCACTGTCTACTTAACATACTAGCCATCAGTGTCTCTCTCTGAACTGTCTTCATAGACTCTTGAGACAGGATAAAACTTGCCAAGTCTTTCCTTACCTCTCCACTCTTTCGGATACAGTTCCAACAGTGAAAAATGTGCAATGTCACTCGTATACAATCTGTTTCAGAGGCAGAATAGGCTATTGATCTTAATCTCAACAAAACTAACTCCCTAGGTCTTCCACCTCAAATTAAAGTTAAAAACAAGAAAGAACAGTGTGAATGTACAGATTTCTTTCAGGATAGATGCCCATATAACTCTTATAAGCAGATCATTTAACATGGAGAAAACATTTAATCTCACCGCTTAATAACTGTATTAGCAAACTGAATTCAAAGTGACCCCACACCAACCTCTGGATATCCATTCGTGGAATAAAATTTTACATACCCCTATAATTTTATTTTGGAGTAAAGGGCTTACTAATTTATACAAAGAACTGACAACAGTCAAGGTTACCTACAATACTAATACTAAATCACACATTCCTGCAGAAAATGTAAAATTCACCTCTTGTCATTCATGTCTGAGAAGACAGGCATTGCCAAAACAAAAATGCAGTACATTAAAAATCTGTGCCCAGATATATTCTGGTGGAAAAAGAAATACTATAGGAATATTTCTGGCATTTCTCCAAAAGCAAATTTTCTAAATCTTAAAGCCTAAAACTTGAGCAGTGAAATCGCATGCACAATTTTTTTTTTTTTTTTTTTGAGCAACTCCTGTGTTACGAGACAGATGCCAAACCCATCTCCAACCACAGAACATGGTCTTTCCACTATATCACCATACACTTTCCTCAGTATAGGCAATCAGTCCTCAACTTTCACACATTGTTCTTCTATACAACTATTGTACTATACTATGTACACTGCCACCTTGTAACTGCTTCTTCGAATGCAGTGATTCATATCACTGATATCAATAAATTCAAACTATCACATGGTGGTCCCACCTGCCAGCACTGTAACTGGAAGAAAAGACTGTACTTCGTGCAAAGTTGCAGAGGGCATTTTGAGATGATCATTTACTTGTGCCAGCA